TCTGATTTGAGAAGATCTGATTCAATATATATTATATATTTATAAATATAAATATATATAATAAATGTTATTTATTTATTATAAATATATATTTTTATAAATTTATTATATTATTTATTTTTTTATAAAAAGCATGTATATATATGATGAAAATAGTTAAAATATAATTGTATTTTTGTTTTAGTATATTTTATTTTTCTTTTGATAGTTTATTAATTTTTAAAGAAAATAAGTTGGATCGGATTAGATCCGAAAATTCAATTTACCAATAGGATTCGAATTTAAATCAAATCCTATCAGATCCGATCGGATCTTCAAATTAAATCGAATTCAAATATACCTTGATTCGAATTTGATCTAATCCATTAACATCCTTATTTGTTAACCCGATAAACCTTGCCTTGCATATATACATATCCTATTGGTATCCATTCGTGGGAAAGTCGGGTCGGGTCGGATTGGAAAATTGTTAAGCGGATAAATCCAAACCCGGGTCTAGTTGAAATTCCAATGGGGTTAGGTTGAGAGACAAATTATTAAATTCTGAATCAGTCCAAAAACAGGTGGAATGTAGTTGAAATTCTTGGCTCAACCTAGCATCATACTTCCAGAAAAAAAGGTAACCAATTAGCGAACCTCCTCCAGAGTCCAGACATTGGAAACTTTGTTTGGACGAAATTAGCCTTCTTAGCTCTTTAGGTACTGATGATTACCAGTTGACCACGATTAATCTTTTCTGTGGGCAATAGAAAAAGCCTATTGGAATCTACAATTTGCTTCAAAGGCTCCAATTGGAAAGAGTGCAAATACACAATTTCAGTATTTTTGTAATTACACTCTTCTCAAATGCCTAAATGGAGTTTTTTTTTTTTTGATAAAGCCAAACGGAACCTTGAGAGTTAAAAGAAAAAGGAAATTTGATTCAAGGAGAGGTCCTCACATAAAGAGGCACTATGATTAAAGAAAGGCCCAAATTGAGACCTGACCTTCAACAAAAGTTGAATTTGGTTCTGTGACATGAACCGGAAGATGGATCTCGAGAATATAACCCCCAAACTTGCCACTTTGTGATGTCTCAAGAATTTAGGGATCAATTCCTTATGGGTCCCTTTTTTTTATAAGTAGTAGATGGGTTTCATATATGTGATCAATTTTGTTAGGCTCAATTTGGAAGGAGTACAAATATAAATATGTAGAGTATAAATATATATAAATTAATATAGAAAACATAGTTTTGCACTTTATATATTTGTATTTGTATTTCTTCTAAATTGAGCCTTAAAAACAATTCAAAAAGTTTTACAGTTTATTGTATTAAATTTATATGGACTTTGGAAAAAATTTTCTTTGGCCCAATGTTTTAAAAATCATTCCAAAATGAGACCATTTTCTGCATCTGGTTCCTGGGTCAGTGGTTCAACTGTCCAATTCAAATAGATCAACCCATGATATCATCAAAGACATAATAAAATATTTAAAATCAGTTATCAACTGTGAACCATTATTTGGTTCGACCATCTAGGTCAGTGGTTCGTTGACTAAATCACCAATTTTTGCAAAATAGCATGCCAGTTGATAAATGGACCTAAAATTATGACTAATTCCCTTGTAGAGCGGTTCAACCATCTTGATCAACAATGTTTTGAAAACACTGCTTCAGCCTAATTGATTGCGGTGCAATTTCATTTGTACTAGTGCAAACTAAGAGTATGGGATTACAAATAATTTGACCGAAAAAATCTGATTTGTTTTGCTTTGTCTCAACTTTTCCCTTTCTCTGTTTGCATTGCAGATGTCATAAAATAAAACCATGATAAAGTAAGGCAAAATCACAAGTGTCGTCATTTGCAGTCTCTTACATTTGTACTAATGTAAAACAGATTTCTATTATTGATGATTTCCAATTCCATTTGTGGTGGATGTGCATGGCATATGTATTTGGGCGCCGAGAGAGAAGAAAAGAAATGGAGCAAAATTTTGTAATGATCGTCGCTTTGACGTGAGGCCATTGCAGAGAGATTATTTTCTCACCTTTATTCATTTAAAAAGAAAGAAAAAAAAAAAAGAATTGAAAGTTATTCAAAGTAATTGGTGAAGAAGAAATAATTTGCAGAGTGGAGGTTGAGGCTGAGGCTGTAGATATTTGTATTTATACTTTTTTCAAACTGAGGCTGTAAATAAAAAGAATGCAACTTGTGGTTTTATTTTGTCTTGGGTTTTAATTTATTATGTTTAAGGTCTTATTTTATTTCATTTGTACTGCAATCAAATAAAAAAAGTAAATTTTAAAATAAAAATAAATCAGAATTTGCACCCAAATCATTTGTGCACGACCATAATATAGTATCAGTGCAAATTTAAGACAGTCAATAACTTCCATTGTAAGACCTTAGATGGATCAAAAGATTAGCTTGGCAGGATGGAGAGGAATAATTCACATCTTAAGAAAATTCTCAGAAAAATTCCTGACCATCTTTTATATAAATATATATTAAAAAAAACTCCTGATTTGTACTTTGGATTTTCTAATGGTCGGCTTTATTACCCTCTAAATATGAGACAAAGCTGAAATAGCAGCTGAACTCTAGTGATGGCCACTAGGTCCTTTTTAAAGTACAATCTTTTTTCTTCTTTGCTTTTCTTCCTTTATAAGCAATATTCAAGGGTTATTTAGTTATTAATGCATCTTGGCAATTTGGGATAAGACCAAGAAAGTTTAACTTTATTTTCCAATGTGTTAATGGTGGCCCCTTAAATTTGCTTTTCCTGTGGCTCCATTTGTTTGAATATTAATGGAGCCAATATATATATTCAAGCTGAAAAGTTCTCCTATTTTCTCACCCTAGAGAGAGAGTATGGAACTCCAAAATAGTTTCCACGTTTATAGTGCAAACTGATTCATGCTCCACTGATAATCCATAATTCATGTGTTGCTTAGCATGCATTTGGCATTAGTGTCGGGAATATTGCATGTTTTTATGAGAAAACAATGTTTATTTTTTGCTTGGAACTGGTGCTGCTATATAGATGTTTTATGAGAAAACAGTATTGGTTTTGTTTAGTTCTAGTGTTGGCAGTAGCGTTTTTAATATTGATCTATATTATCCTGTGTTCAAGATGATGCCACATGGATGTCACATCATTGTACCGCCGATAGTAATACACTGTTTTCTCAGAAAACATTAAATTTGGCATTGCTGCACAGTATACTTTCCTGATTTCAAAGGCATGGTTTAGAGCAAGTTTTTTTTCTAGAAAAAGTAGTACCAAACAAGAGGGTATTATTTGAAGCATCACTTTCTTTGATATAATGCCTATGTGAAGTCATTTTCTGAAACAACGGAATTGATGCCAAACACCCTCTTAGTGAATCGAAGAAACAAGATTTGGTCTCATATTAATTGTTGCATTCATGGTATTTATTCATTAAGGGGATATTCTACAAATGTGTATTATGTTTATCAAAGTGAAAGCAATTAATTTGTTTTCAGGAGTGTAACAATTGTTTAATAAAACCATACATATTGGCAAATCTAAGATGTCCTTACATATTGACTCATTAAGRCTATGTTTGGTTTGAAGGAAAAAGTAGGGAAAGGAAGGTTGATTGTAAAGGTTTCCTTACCTTTTCCTTCATTTCCCTACTTTTTCCTTCAAACCAAACATAGCCTAAATTTTTTAAGTTAAATTTTAGATGCCCTTTTATTATTATCATAATTTTGGTATTTGAAATACTAATAAACCCTACTTCATCCTCACATGATCCTTTTTCTTGAAAATTTATCCACAAAACTTTAAAACCAATGTTTTTAAAATCAACCCGAAGAACAAACTAGTCAGGGGTCCGGTTCTTGGGTTGAACGATTGGCCCGTTTTGACAAAAAATTAAAAAATTAGAAAACAGTTCAAGCCGTTGAACGGCTCAAATGCCCAGATCAGTGGTTTATTGACCAAATCAACACTTTCTTTTTTGCAAATATCTGATTTTGGGGAAAAACAGAACTGGTCACCTGATCGGTTCCCGATTTTTCCAGTCTGACCATCCGGTCTGATCCGATTTTGAAAACCATGTTCAAAACATACATAAAAGGAAAATAACAAAAAAAAACTATTGCTCTAATTAATTAGCTATTAAAATTATAATGATTTTCTGTTAAATGATACAACAAGTTTCTGCTTTTCATTTGTGCTTCCAACCCCTCCCCACCACGAACAAAGTGGCTATTGAAAAAAAACCCTATCTTCTAGTCTGTATTTTCATCAGAGTTTTAAAACCCGACCTGAAGAGTGAACCGTTTTTCTTTCTATGCCAATGAATTAGTGGTTCAACTATCCCGGCCAATTAATTAACGCATGATATCATTAATATAAAATAATAAAATAATAAAATAATAAAAAATCTAATAACACCGATTAAACAGATGATATGGGTTAATGGTTCAACCATTTGCGTCAATTGCTTATTCACCACCCGGGTCAACGATAGATAAAAAACACAGATTTGTCATAGCTATCACCATGTGTAGGGTGAAGAATACATACAGAAACTGCTATTCTTGACCCATATTGGCTTACCCATATTGAACAAACCCGATTAAGTGGTGGAGGAGTGGGACGCGTCTATATGAACGGTTATGATAACTCTCCCCCATTTCCACATGTTGCCCTCTAATATAGCCCTAAAACCCGCACAAAACCGGATCCTTTGACCGAACCCGTCACTCTCTTGTCAACTGCCACGTGTCAGAATAGCAAAATAGACCTTTTTGTTTTTATCCACTGAAACCACCCTAATTTTGGAGGGGGTATTTCCGTAAATATAGAAGAACAAGGCAAGAAGGGTAGGAAGTAATAGGAAGTCGGCACGAATACGCTTTTAATAACTCCTGCACTAATCCTACTTTCTAATTAGATGGCAAGAGCGTAATTTAGATGGAAACCGAGGGCTACTATAAATTAGCTTCTTACGAAAACCAGAGGCTTTAGTTTGGATTGTCACTGTATAAATAGTCGAAACCCCGAACTGGCGATTTCGAAAACCGCCACTTCGCTTCGTTTGGTCTCGATGCATATCGCCAAGTTTTTTCACTGCTGTGTTTGTCTGACCGATTAAAGACTCGGTTTGGTCGTGCCTTGGGCGTGAAGTTTCGAAACCCATCTCTTCTTTTGCACGGAAAGCATAGATTTTTGCTCTCTGATCGTCTCTTTTGATCTCCTTGGAGAGATTTGTTGCTTCAAATAGAACTGGGTTATTCCTGTTTTCTTGAATTTTCATTCTGAAAGATGGACGATCGGAGAAGACATCAAGTTGATAATAATCATCATCAAGAGGTCCTGAGGACACCCAAAAAATCGCAGAACAGGAAACCGCCTTCTGGTACGTTTTGGTGTTCTGCTTCGTTTACTTGATTAGCTTGTTAAGTTGTTATGTAGAAGAATGGTTATCTTAAACTGTTGATATATGTGTTCTTGTTGATTGGTTTTCGGTTCAGAGTGCGGGGCATTTAGAGCTAAGCGATGGATACTTGTTGGCCTTTTCCTTTCTTATTGTGTTATGGTTTTGCTTCGTTAATGTGGGTGTACTGTTACTTTTTCTTTCATTCTTTTCCCGAGTGAAGTTGTTTGAGAAGTCGGTTTTATTTGTAGAAAGATCTTTGATAGATGGGGGATGTTTCGATGATTTCTTCTAGGGTTTGAATTTTGTTTTCGTATTCAGGACATAAGAAATGGGTTCGTGTATTATCAATGATTACATATTCAGAATTCCCCTTATCTTGTTTTTACCTTTTTCCCGACTTTTTCTGATCCTAGTGTTCTTTTTCTGTTTAAGGAATCTCCGTTGCTTATTTAAAGGAGGGAAGAAGGGAGTGGACAGTTTCTATAATGCAAATCGATTTGTTAAATTTTTCTTACTCTGTAAGGGAGGAAAAAAGAAGGGGTGAAAAGATCTGCTTCCATTTACTGTTTTGTTATTGGGTGGTTTTGGGATTAAGGAATTAATTTGCATGGGCTCTGTTTGGTTGTCTTTCTCTCTTTCTTTTTTTTATTTTTATTTATTTTTATTTTTTCTCCTTGTTTAATGCTTTGAATGGTTTGATAAATGCTTTTGTTTCTTTAAAATTTCTGAATTGCAGAGGTGTTCCCTTTTTGTAGTAAATGAGGCCATGATTTTTCTCAAGTTGCGATGTTGAGGCTCTCTGTTTACTGRTTTTCAGTAGTGTTAGTGGTTCAAATGAAATCATTTAATTTCATCTTTATGGTGTTGTGATTTCAGGGTTTTGGCAGCCTACTGTGCCTTCATGGGAGAAGAAATTTTGCGCTTCTGTGGGTACAATTCCATGGCGAAGGCTCTTGGAAGCAAAGAAAGTAACATCATTCTATGAGAATGTGGTTCAGTGGAATGACTCAGCTGGTGAAGAGGCATTCAACAATGCAAAAAGCCGCTTTTGGGCAAAGATCAATGGACTCCCTTCTGACATTTCTCTGCCTGACCCAGATATCTATATCGACAAGATTGATTGGAACTCTGACGTTGATCCGGAGTTGATATTGGACTTGGATCGAGATCCTGCCGTTCCTGATGAGGGGGACAAGGATGGGAAGGTTTTAGGTCTTACTGATTCTCTCTTATGGTTGAATCGTCCAGTTCCATGCACTGGATGGGATGATGCAGAGGAGGATCCGGTCAGAACAGCTAAGAATTTGTCATCTGATCCCGTATTTGGAGATCGTCGTCAGAATGCTGATATTGATAATAATAATCCTTGGGAATCTGCTAATATTCAGGGGAATGAGAGTGAGAACAGAACATGGGGTCAGGATAAAACATGGGGAAATCATTATCATGGGGGTAATTCATGGGGTTTAAACCAGTGGAAGAACAATGTTAATGAGAATTTGGAATCCAGTAAAACCAATGGAGGTTGGGGAACATGGAATAGGAATAGCAGAAAGAGAGAAAATGCCCAATCAGTACATGTCAAGGTATAAGACCTCCAGGTTCCAAGGACACAACTATCGACAGATCGATGGTGGAAGAACAGTGGCGGTAGGTGTAGGGTGAATTTTGTTTACGATCGCCCAATGATTGATAAAAAGCCATTGGCTCCAAAGCAGTGGAACTCAATCCAATACTGTGGCCCAATTAGTCATCGTGGATGTGGTGAAGCAGGCAACAATTGGGGCATGGAGAAGCCAGTTTCTTAAATGTGGACAGCCTATTTACATATTCATTTTATTCTTTGTTATATAAGCATTTAAGCAAGTGTTAAGGGTCGGCATCATAATGGTAAGACCTGTACCAGCTCGTAAGACTCGCAGGATCGAAGATGTTGTTTCATGTCTTGTTTGCTTCAGAAGAGTTGCCTCCCCCAAGATTTTGAATGGAGGTTTTTCTTTGAGAATAGTTTTATGTAACGACTACATATTGTTCCTTCATCAAATTGATATATTGTTTGGTTTTCATGCAAAATCTGTTTTGCATGTAACACATATTTCTATAGTATATATGACCCAGTTCATATATATTCTTTCATCCCCTCTCCCCTCAATAACTGAACCCTCTTTATAAGTCCTAGAGAAGCATCATCCATTGTAGTTTTATGGAAGTTCAGCTCAAGATTTCATAGTTATGTTTTTCTTACAGTCCTTGAGATTTCTGTTATCCACTAGTTGCAGTGTTATTGTTGGGTCACCTTCTAACTAACATGTTTAAGAGAAACTACTGGTGACATTATCTTTCTGTCTTAAAGCTCCCTGAAATAGCTACCTGTTTCAACTTGTGGGGAAGATTCTGAAGTCATATGCTCTGAGATATTTCCTGAGATTATTCTCGAAAAAAGAAGAGGTAAGAAAACGTGCTATCTATAAATTATGGACTGTGAGTGGATTAGATAGACACAAGAGCATCCATGTCGATCCACAGCCAAGGAAAAGGAGGGGGAAAAAGAAAAAGAAAAAGAAAAAGGAGGATGATGTCCTTTTTCCTTTACATAGATAGTTCTTTCAATTTCGTCGGAGTTATGTTTGTGTGATGGGCAAGGTACGGGGTGGAAAGTGAGTTGCACCTAACAAAGCAGTTCATGTACGAGGAGGCTGTTGGGTGACCAGGGTGGCTGTCGGGTGGGGCTTGGCCTCTCATGCTTGACACACAGCTTGGCCTCTCATGCTGCATGGGTCCCAACTCCGAGTCTGAATCTGCTCCTAACGCAGCGCGCCTCACACCGACCTCAGCGTGTCCTGGCCGCACATCGGGAACATCTCCCGTACCGTATTTGTATTTATTATTCGTGGGAGATGTTTTCCATATGGTTGTGAGGCGCGATGTATGAGGAGCAGGTCTTAATTCCCCAAGGCCATAGTTGGCTGGGCCCAGATCTGTAAATCGAATCGTACAGAACTGCGTTGGTCACATGCTTTGGTGACTCATCTCTTTGGAAAAACATTGATACCTTTTTTTTGTTGGGTGAGGTTGATGTGATGGCCTTGGATTGCTAGCAATGAAGGATGATACCCCACAAGGCCACAAGACGCCCTTATCTGGCCAGGACAAGGACCAGCACCATTTACTTGGCAGTTAAGGCTGTCAATTGGATCGGGTTTGGTCCAGTCCGATCTCAACCCAATGGAAGTCGAATTCAAACCAATCCAATTGAAAAGTAAATGGAGTGGATCTAATCCATTCTACGCAAACTGAATGAAATATTAAAGAATTACATAAAGAACCCAGAAAATATAAAAGAACTACAGAAATCGAGAAATATAATAGAAATTTCATAATAAGTATAAAAATGCTTAAAAGATAGAAAACATAGAAAAACAAGAAAAATTATAGCAATATAAAATATATTGGGGCTGCAAAGGTTCTCAACCACAGCGGTTCAAAATAAATTACCTTTCATACACTTAGGGTCCGTTTGTGTTTTTTTAGATTTTGGAAGGGGGAAAATTAGTCAAAGGGATTTTGGTTGCTATTGACTAAGAAACTCCTGCTCTATTTTTTTTTTTCAGATTTATGTGGGGTCTGTCATTTACTAGAACATGCTTTATAGTTTCACACATTTACTTAAACATAATGTATATTTTGCATTACCTATTACTTAATTAACCTTTCATTAAGAAGTATGTGTTTTTCTTTTGAAAATGATAAAATTATTGCCTAAGCTAAGTGGAAAATTTTTTAGGGTATGGACCTATGGTTGCTTATACTTAAAGTACCCCTAAACTGAGTGTTAAATGTTCAAAGGTATGATTTTGGTTGTTTATTCCAAAAGTATCCTAATACGTTTTTGTATAGAAAACAAAATTGACCAAATAGAGAAAAATATAATGGTTGTCCATGTTTAATTAGGGGGAAAATGACATTTTTGTTTTTAGTTTCTTCAGATTAAATCTATTTGAATGGATGTTAGGGTTAAAATTGTCATTTTTCACTTTCATCTAGTGGAAGGTCAATTAAGTAAATTGATTGAAAACTATAGGGGATGTTTTAGTAAAACACAAACTATAAAGTAGTTTTTAGTAAATTCATGAAACTATAGGGAGTGTTTTAGTAAATAACCCATGAAAATTTTATTTTCCTTGAGTAACTGATACCCATCATTTAAGTGGGTAAGTAATTTTCTCACATGAGGGGAAAGTTGATATTACTTGGATGGGACAAAATTGTCTCTTTTAATAATGACTTTTATGGCTAAAATGGTCATTATCTTATTTACTGAAAAGTGATGGTGCGTGATCTAGTTACTCCCTCCTGGATGGTAGCTCAGATGTGGTCTACTTACATGGTCGATCGAACTGCAAGGAAATACTATTAGGGGACCCAGGGTGCTTTACTCGATGTGGGCACTTCGATGCTTAAGTTAGCGAAGTGTGTAGTAGCGAGGTTGTATGTTTGTGAGTGTTATGGTCACACCATCCGGCAAGGCACCGCGGCGCCGTCATAGGCAGCAGCACACACAGCAGGCCGCACAGCAGTGGGCACTGCCTGGCAGCACTGCACAACAGCATGCACCGTCGATAGTGCGCAGCACGCACCGCCAGGCAGCAGCGCGCACACACCCGGTACCGCACGGTAGCAGCACCATGAGGCGCGCGCACGGCAGCGGCACCCTGAGGCGCGCGTACGCACTGCACGCACACACCGCGCAGCAGCCAGCAGCAGCAGTAGAGTGGGGCCCACACGACAGCTCATAGGGGTGGGCCCATCCTTATCTGGACACATCAAGCCAACTCGCCGCCAGCTTACCTTATCCTTATCTTATCCCTTATCCTTATCYAATCTCATCTTTATCTTATCTTAAGTAAGAGTGAGTTACCAATAGGAGTAGG